TAAAGCTCTTTATGATACGAGTGTAATTCGTTGCTCTTCCCATCACGGCCCTAAGAACTTTCGATTAGCTCGGTTCCTTCAACTAAGCACCAATGTAACGTCAAATACAAAATTTCGAAAGTAAAATTCAAAGAACCTTTATCTATACCTTCACCCCTCTGATTTCGGATTTATTGTATCTGTACACTCGCAAACTATTTAGCTCCCAATGAGGCCACCACCCCGGAAATTCACGCAGAAAATTTCCTCCTCTATTCCTTCGCTCCTTCAGCGCTTCGTTTATACAAAGGCATACGCGGAGCAATCAAGCCTTATATATATAGTATATACGTGTAGAGAGCTATGTGAACGATTGTGAAAATTCATCTCCAGTGGATCGGAAAAAGGCAGGATTTTCCTTACAATACATTTTACCCGAGTAGCAGCGCAGTAGTAGTGACACGAGCTTGCTTTTAGTCGCGATCGGCAATGACTAAATCGCGCCCGCCTGCACAGCTGCAGCAGAATTCGCGTGCATTATAGATGCTCGCAGCCGGAGCTCGAGAGAGAGAGAGAGAGCTATTTTTGCTGTTATTTTGCCCAAAAAACTTTCTTTTTTTGCACTTGACAATAAAAAAAAAAATTGCGAACGAACGAACGAACATCCGAAACTTGAGCTCCTCAATTTATCGCCCAGCTAACGTTGAAAATTTGCATCTCCGTGGGTGGGTGTGTGTGTGCGAGTGCGCGCCTGTTCACATAATTCGCAAACACGTTTTCACTTTAAAGCTCCGACTGATCCAAGTTTTTTTTCCCCCGTCGACAGAGAGAGAGAGAGAGTTCCCGCGTTCAAAAGCTTCATTCGGCGCAAGTGCCTTCTCGCCGATCAGCGCGCGGCACACAGCGCGAGTCGTGTTTCATCACGTCATTTTTTTCCCCCTATTTTTTTCTTCATCCACCCGTCTCGCTCGTACCTTATATATACCCATGGTACATCTCATTTTCCTCGATCATCCCTATTCTCCGGGAACTTTTCTTTTTTTTTTCTTTTTTCTTTTTTTTTTTTATACATCCATAATACCTAAAAAACCTCTTCATCTTTTCACTTCCGGTTCACTCGCGCCACTGAATGATCGAAGAAATGCCGCGCTATCTATCTCTTTTCTTTGGGATATATATTCGGGCTCGTTTCTCCGGGGGCATCTTCTATTATTCCATTTTCGGCTCTATCTTGTCTCTCTCTCTCTCTCTCCCGGTGGCTTTTGAGAAAAACGGCATCGGATGAAATGTGTGCTGCTGTTACTGCTACTATCTGCCTACCTGTATGTGTCTAAGTGTACAAGTGTGTGTGTGTGTATGTGGCGTGCAGACACACCCACAACTGCCTCAGCGAGAAAAGAACCAAAAAGTCTTGCTTTTCGCAAGCGGGAGGAGGAGAAGGACGAGCGGGCGGGCGAACGAAGGAGAGGCTCGAGGGTAATAGAGAGGATCTTTTTCATCGAAAATGAAGAGTAAGAGAAAGGGAGAGAGAGAGAAAGAGAAAAAAAAAGGCAGAAATGGTAGTTTTCCTTTCTTTATACTTTGCGCGTGTTCTCTCTCTCACACTCGCTCGGCGTCGACGTCATCTCGCCGATTACATTTTACCGACTGCTTGGATTACAAACACCGGGGCGCGTGCGTTCCTTGAAATTTCTTCATTTTTTTTTTTTTTTTTTTTTANATTTTTTTTTTTTTTTTTTTCATATTTTTTCATGTGTACGAATTGTGTGCGAGTGCGCGGCGCTAGCGCTAAGCGGACTGAGCGCGCCATACTGCTTTATCAAAATTAAATCCCCGAAAGCAGATAAGAATTCAGTCGCTGTATTTAACAATTTTTTTGGGGGGATTGATTTTTTCGACGAAACGAAATTTAAAGCACAATCATGAAACATGAATTTCCCTAAATATATAAAAACAGTGAAAAAATAAGACTCGTTGAAATTCGAGTTGACGTTTTCCATTTTTTTTTCAAATACGAAAATGCGGTGTTTTTTATTTCCTTGATGATTTTTCCAAGTTCCAAGTAAAAGTATTTATTATACGAAAGTGAATAAACTAGTACTTTACTTATTATTATTAAAATTAAAATATATATGCTGCGAGTTTGCTTGGCCATTATGTGAATTTATAAAATACTGGTGTTATTTTATGAAATTTAATTACAATGCTCGCATTAAAAGTGAGCCATTATGCTTGGAAAATGCAAAACTTTTATCTACTAAAAACTAAGATAAACGCGTTAAAAATTCTACGTACGTTTAACTTTTTTTTCATGCACGCAGTAGTTTATAAGTTACCGCTAGATGGCGTACGGCCGAATTTTTAAAAACCAAAAGAGAAAGAGTAAAATTTTAGCATCAAATGAGAGCAGTTTTCAATCTAAAACTAGCATACAGCAGGTTTTTTGAGAAAACAACCCAGTTTAATGACAAGAAGTACCGAGGGTAAGAGAGAAAAAAAATATCCCAGATCGAAAGATGGCGATAAGAGTGCGCGAAACGACAGAAATATAGAGCAAAGTTCGAGTTATACCAGTAGTTATTTGAGTGACATAAATAAGGTATCATTCGTTAAATGTCGACCGGCACTCCCTCTCCCTCAAGCGCGCGGAGTACGTCGGGAAAAGTGTCAAGGGCTATACGTCGTCGAATCGAGTCGCCGCCGCCGTCGCGAGTGTGGTTGGCGAAATCAATTACAGACTCGTTCGATAGTATGTGTAGTAGTAGTAGTCGTCGTCGTCGCGCGGCTTACAGCAGCTGTCGTCGCGAATTTTACATTTCACTCAACAATTACATTCTTTCTTTCGGGCGATGATCATGATCTCGTCGTACGATTTATTTTATTCTTTATTTTTTGTTTCGCATGCGAGGGGGGTACTCGACCGACCGATCGCGCGCGAGGACGACGCAAAAAAAAAAGATGGGCACGATACGATACTCGTTTAACAAAAAAAAAAAAAAACAAGAAAGGAAAGGAAAGGAAGAAGAGAATCGCATATTATACAGGAAAAGCGGAAGATTTTTGAGAGATATTCCGGCGATTGAACTGCGCGGCGCGCGCGCGCGCTCGCAAGGGAAGCGGTGTTTGGCAGACAACCAAACTGCCGCTGCCGCTTCATTGCTTTTTCTCTTTCTCTCTATCCAGTGTGCGTCTGCTTTCGAGCTTTATCGCATATAATATGGCAACTGTATATGAAGGTAATCTATTGTTATGGTTTTATATCGAGTTATTGCTTCCTCCTCCTGCTGGATAGGGGAGGCTGCTCTGCGATAGGCCTCGAAAAAAAACGAGTTTTTCAACCAGGTGTCGTGGGATAATTTTTTTGTTTACAATATCTGTACACAATCGACTTTATTGATTTTCCGTCCACGTTTATGCGTGGATAGCATTTTCATTTCATTTGTCAGTATTGTGCATCTAATGCCCTGTTTAGTCACGTAAGTAAATCAAGAAATGTCAGTCTTGTTACGAAACATTCATGTGGCTTTTTTTATTTTGAAGTTTCCGTTGGGTCGTATTTGTATTCAGATTTTTTTCATGAACTAATTTTATTTAGAATGAAAATTTATAACGTGACAATTTATTTGTTAAAGTATTAAAACAGTAAATGAAACAAGTCACAACAGAAACCGCAAGGGAACGTAACCATTGAATAAAAATAATATGAAACATAACCACATTTATTCGTGCTAATTAAAAATAGAAGGGACGATGGTTTTTTTGATACTATTATTTCCAATGAAACTAAGGATTGTAGATAATTTTTACAATTTACCTTCAGTTCAGCTCGAAAATAGAACCATGCCAAATGAAATTGGTATGGAAGCCAATAAAGATAATTTTATTGTAACTAAAGCTTTATTTGAAAAGAAATTTATCTGGATTGGAAAAATTATGAAAATTACTTTTTAACACTGCGTGCGCGAAACACGGGTTTTCTAACCTTAAAGCGTCAGAAAACCCTAGTTTCTCGCAAGCAGAGTTAAAAAATATCGTTTGCAACTAGTCCGCGAGGAAGTTGACTCACCCAGGAGTCTTTGCACCCTCGCTACGCTCGGGTGAAAACAACTCCTGGATGAGTCAACTGCTTCGCGCACTTGTTACAAAATATACTATTTTTATACCCTTTTCAAAAAAGAAGCATACAAATATGTGGGAATGTTTTTTTGAGTTTATATTTACTAATGATAGTTCCTACTATGGTAAGTGTTACAAAAATTTTACTGGCAGCATGATGTATTCAAATAATTATCATTCATTAAAGATTTTGAAAATCATCAAGTTTTCAAGAGAAAATCTGAACTTAACTATGGTTGAATGCATATTTCAACTAATATGTTTATTGATGATGATATTTTGTTACTTAAACATGCTATTATGCAAAAAAAAGGTAATTAACACGTATGATTATGAAATAAATAAATAGATTCAACGTTAATAAAAAGAATAAAATTTAATTTTCAATCTTAACAAGATCCACACTTGTGCAGTATTGATGGTTCAATTTTGGTCCTCTAATTCTCAAGATGCTGAAACGGTGTTGGAAAAAACATTAATGAAAGCGAACAATATTAGCATTTTTCAAGCAGGTTAGCATCGACATTTTTAACCATTTATTAGGAAATGATTTATTTATTTAAAAATTTTTCAGTGGGGATCGTTGTTTTAGGCACAAGCTTTGCCGTATCATCGATCCTTGTTCCGTCTTTTTTGAACTGGGCACTTCCAGGCAATCAGACATATGGAAAATGTCTGCCTCTCCATACAGAATTACATTTAAACGAAGAAAAATTTTTTAATCAAATTTTTCTAGTCCAGTTCACTGTAACATTTATTTTTGTTTTATTGATAGGCTCAATAAATGCTTTTCAATTTTTCACCATATCATACATTATTGGCCAAATTCGTGTATTGGAGTACGCCATAGCTAGAAAATTTGACTCAAATTGAAAATGGTTTTAATCGTATATAATTTTTCACAGATATTTTCTACGTAAAATGGACTCTGAGTACAGATTGAAACTTTTGGTAGATGAAAATAATGGAAACAAATGGATTTTTTGGCAGATCCAAGTTTTTGTGCAAAAGCATCAAATTTGTATCGAGTAAGTTTTGTTAATGTTAACAGCTTTAAAGAATTGATGAATTATAAACGCATGTATTATAGGATTTTCAAAGTGATTCGCGATGTAGGCAACAAGATGGGATTTGTTATATTATTCGGAGCAAGTTGTGTCCTTGCCTTAACGTCTACTTTAGTATGCTTTGAATTATTTTTTAGATTTTAGTTATTCAATCACTTGAATATGTTCATGTTTTTAGGTGGTAATTTTAATGGAAAAAAATTGGCTGGGGGCAGCAAAAATGTTGTTTGCGTTATGTGTTACGATTATCGTTATAATTTGTGCTTGTTTTCCAAGCCAAATGTTGAAGAATGCTAGTGACGATCTATTCTGTACCTGGTAAATATTGCAGATTACTATTGGTCATTGAATTTTAATTCAGTAAATGATTATTCTTTTCAAGCTTCAAAATAAATCTTCAAAATTATCCAATAAAAATACAGAAGATCTTATTATTCGTTATGCTAAGAGCAATGAAACCTTTTGTTTTAACTGCTGGGCCAACTATAGAGTTAGATTTAGAAACCTGCGGCAACGTAAGCTTTTATTATTTTTTTGAACATGAAATTTTCTTGGAATGTTGTAAAAATATTTAAATTACTTTAAATCGAATCATTGTTTTCAGATGATTAAATCCTCTATGTCATTTGCAATAGCCTTCAGATCTATTTACACTTCACTATAACTTTTTTCTCCCGAATTTGTACCTTAGCGAACGTAATTTAGAAACTGTCATAATTATTCAATTATTGTGTTCATATCATTCGAATTTAAATATGATATTAGACTTCACCGCTGCACAGGTTTTTAGCCACTTTGTAACTTAATTTTTCATTATATAAATTTATTGTTTTTCCATTTTTTATGGACAGCAATTTTATTCTCTGTTCGATCACTCACTTGTTTGGATGCAATATCGATTTAAGTCAATTTTTAAGGAAAAATCGGTGTTATCTTGAATTCGTACTTGTTCATACTAATAATTTTTATACAAAAATGAAAAACTTGATTTAATAATTTTTTCAAATATCTGTATTTTTTTTTATCAATAAAATTATTTTAGTACTAATGTGTTAGTGTAGTTACAATGTAAAAATTTATTCAGTTAGCTTGCTTGCTAAGTTCTCGAAAAAAAAAAGCGATTTAATGTTTCAATTTTAAGCTTGATGAATAAACTAAATTTTTAAATTTGTTTTCTTGTAGTTTCAAACAATAATTTAACTTCATGAAAGTTTTTAAAATATTTACCCAGTCAATATATATTTAAAATGTGCCTGCAAAAGATCTTCAATGAAAGTGACGCAGAATGAAAAAATTGCAAATTCAATTGCGTTATTAAAATTAACTGAAAGTCTGTCACCGATATTCGGTGAGATCAGCTCTGTATTTAAGGTGACAGATAATCCAATCCAGGCGAAAGACATGGAATTGAATTAAACCACTTTTTTAGAATTTAGAACAAGATTTTGCAGCGACTCCGGTATTACGGTGCTCAGAACTCGTGGAAGAACAGGCAGAACCGTTGGATCTGACGGTTCCAAATTCCCAAGTGGAGTTACAAGATTTTGCAACGACTCCGGCACTGCGGTGCGCAGAACTCATGGAAGAACAGACAGAGCCGCAGGATTTGACGGTTCCAAAGAAACAAAGAAAAAATATTGAATCCAGAAAAAGTAAGTTGGAAAGGATATTATACAAAGAAAAGTTATGGAGGGCCACTCAGGCAACTAGGCTTTGCAACAGAGTATTTGGTAAATTGACAAAAATCTCAAAGCTCAAAGCAATTAACAGTCAATCAAAAACAGAAATGGCAAACTTTTTGATAGTGTCCGACAAATATTTAAATATGATGAAGGCTTATTGTAGAAACAATTATTATAGGACGGTTACAAAAAAAAATCGTCGAAAGAGGAAATAGAACGAAGTACGCACCACAAATCAGTGTTTCAATATAAATGATTAAATTACTTTTCTGCTTGCAGATTAATACATAAAGATACTCGCCATCTGGTGGTGGATGCTTAAATGATTGTATTCAAACTAGTTAAAACAAGTATACATTTTTTGCAGCAGTAAAATTGTCATTTTCAAGTCATTTAAAATTTGCTTTATATTTATAATATAATTGTATCGACAAAATTGCCAGAAACAATTAGCTACTCAATAGTCATGTATTTTAAAACTTATTAAATTACAATTTTGGAGTAATTAGGCTATTCGTAATGTTGAGCGTTTTTACCAAAGTTTTACTTTTTATAATATTTACTCCAATGAAAAAATGCACGTGTGCTATTTAAATTTTTTAAAAGTATAAACTTTAAAAAAGTTTAAAAGTTAAGAAAAATGTGTTACAGAAAATGTTGCAGTATTAAATATATCATGTACTAACCGCCACGTGGCGTACGGTTAAGTAAACTAATAAGGAGAGGGAAAATCAATAATCCTTCTAGGTTCAATGCGAATTTGTTAGTAAACTATAAAAACTTTTTCCTTTTTAAAAAAGAACGAGAAGCCGTTTTACTTACGATGTGACTGAAATACCATTATATTTGAGGAAAGATACACCATCAACAAATGATTGTATCATATCGAGAATAATAAGAAATAAAGTAGCAACTTCTTTATATATTTTAAATATTAAGTCTAAAATTCGTTTCGATGCATCATTGCATCGTTCTCTCCACCGCGCTTATATGACCACCTGCCGCGAGGCATCCCACTCGATTCAACTTCAAGCGATACATAAAAGCCATTAAAATCCTTGCTTTATAATCAAACAGATTGCTCCCGCGCGCGCGCGTGGCATCAATAAAATAACGCGTGCGCGACTCGAAAATCTCATCCCCACGCGCGTGCTTGCATCGAAGAATTGCGCGCGCAAATTCCTTCCTGAAAAAAAACTGTTTTCAGGCGCACTCCGTACGCTCCTGCAACGAAATGATATACGCAATATTCATTAAGTTTATTATTCCCGCAATTTTCGGCGCACGTACGAGAGGGTACCGTACAAAAACCACGCGATCGCGTGAATGTGTGGCGCCCGTGTCGGATATCATCATATTCGCGCTATGAGCGTGGAAAATTGCCGTTTTGCGTTTGCGGGGCTGAAAAAAAAAACGATAAATATTCACTTGTCGACGCACAAGAGAGCGAAATTTTCAACTGCGAACGTACACGCGGCTCTCTAGCGTGTGTATACGCACGGGGGGAATCTATTGTTTTTTTTACACGCGCGCAATTCGCACCTACAGCGACGACAACGCGCGAGTGTCGAAACTCCCCTCGCGCTGCTGCCACTGCTGCTACATCGACGCATGTAGGTGATCGTATATGTTTCGGTGAAACGTACATTTCGCAATTTTCGTACTAGCAGTTTTCTAAATTATTATTTTTTTTGCGGAATATTTATGGCTTTATGAAAAAATAAAACGACGCGTTAATGTAATGATATCGTTTTTTCTACTTACGATGCAGTACTCGGAGGTCTTTGGACACTCCTTGAGTTGTGTGGCTGTGTAATTGATGCACGGCGTGATGCTTCCGACGCCATCGTTGTACTGTCCGCATTGGTAGCAGTTCAATCCTTGTACCACGCCTGTAACACAAAAAAACGCAAAAATTAATTTACTTCGAACATAAATGACGTAAGAGAGGCAAGAAATCGATATAAACCCGCTCCAATCTCTCCACGGTAAATCCATCTCCCCAACCGTCCAACATTTATTAGAAGTTTTTCGAACCTTCGCTTCGATTATTACAGCGTGAATGAAACACGATCGCGCGAAGTCGCGCAAAAAATGCTCCGTTGTACACGGTCCGAAGGCAATTGATGCTCGTGTTTGCGCGAGGGCGAATTTTCGGGAAAACGTACCACGGCCCTAAACTTTTTTTTGCTGGAAAACTTACACGCCGATATTATTCATGCCGTTGTTATTCGCGTCCTGGACCGGTTGACCAGTGTTTTCAGCCATGGATAAATCCGGTGCGGATCAATTTTTTTTTCTCGATCGGTTTAGTAATTCATAACTATAGAGTTATACGCAAGCTTCCATTCCTAAATCTGAAAAAAAATCTACAAGTATTACAAAGCGCACTGTAGATCTCCTTTTCCCAAAATCGACTTGTTTTTCGCTACCTCCTCGAGCCTTCGTTATAAAATCATGAAAAAAAATCGTGGAAAAAAAATCTCGGGTACGCTTTTACTTTATTTTCGTTGGATAAAATAAAACTCGCAGGCGCTGCGACAACGACGACGACGACGTGCCCTTGTGTGTGCAAAAGCATCTATCTGGCGTACAGGTAGAGAGACCAGCTACGCTGCACTCACCAGTCTAACCTCGGCGCATTCACAGATTGAATATTCGAGTGTGCCTCGCTCTCGCTTCGAAATCAATCAAATCGATTCCTCGAATGCCCTTTGAAGCTCTTCTATACTCACGCTCTCGCGTATATATGCCCTCGACTTCTCTCTTCGCTCGCAAGAAATAAGGTCAATTTCCCCTCGTCGTCGTCGAAGAAGACAATTCCCTTATATATATTATATGTATTTAAACATCGTCCGCTGCTGCTCTTGCCTTTTAAGTGAATTTCGCGCGAGAAAAAAAAGCTCAACCCGAAAGATATTTCAACCGATACATAAATTAGCCGTATACACACAGCCTTTTTTTGTTGCCCCGAAAAAGTTTGCTCGAAAGAGCTTTTATAATAGCGAAGCGAAGAAATTACATAAATGTTTTATCGCAGCAGGCGACGCGCGACGTGCCGCTGTCCACCACGTGCTTCTGCCTCTGTGCAGTTATTGCTGATGACATCTTTCAAAAGCTCGTAAGCGCGCGCACCGTCGAGGAAAAGTTGCAGTTGGCATAATTACTCTTGCATTCGTTGTTTTTACAATGGGGCTTCGTTGTTATTAGCGCGAAACTTTGTCGCTCGACTTTTTGTCGCAGAAGAGGGTAAGGAGAGAGTAACGATGATGAAAAAAAAAAGTGAGCGGTAGAGTACGAGAGGGCGACGAAAGATTCCCGCGCTGATTGCCGGTTATTTTCTCGTGTTCCTCCTCGGCCCGCGCGCGCGCGTAAGTGGACGCATTATTATACATTGGCTGGTGAACGCAGGGCAGCAGCTAGGTGAATCGAGCGAAAAAAATTGAGGAGAGACGAAAAAAGAGATCTCGTCTCTACGAAAAGGGAAAAAGTCAGAGGTGGTGCTGGCGCGCGAAGTATTATATGAGGCCGAAGTTGGCAGTTGCGCATTCAATGTAACTCTCTCTCTCAGCTTCAACACACACACACAGACACGCTGCAGACGTATAATATACACAGGCGCAGTAGGTTGTAGGTATATATAACTACTGCGCCACGCGCCCGAGGGCTCCGCAGATCCAGATTAGGCACGTCACGGTCTCTCTCTCTTACTCTCGTTGTCGTATAGTCGTCGACGTCGTCCAATTCACTGGCCCTGGACGCTGCCGCAGCAGAGAGAGACCGAAAGTACCCACCCGCGCACATTTATGTCTTTCCTTTATCTTCGAACTCTCTTCTCTCTCGCCTCGTTGATGGATTTTGCAACTGCTAATTTTAAACTTTCTCTCGTGCGGCCAGTCGTGTTATATATAATGTGTGTCTGTGTGTGTGTATACACGTTTTTGCTGGTTCTGCCAAAAGCTGCGCTCGAACGCGCCCCTCTCATCCCACTTCTATGACGTCTACTCGACTGACTCGACTGACTTCGAGTCTCTTTTGTTTCTTATCCATCTTCTTTTCATCTCGTTCGCTCGAGAATAAATGACATTCAAATGTTAATTTGTTTCGTTTCCCTCCCTTCCCACCTCCCCCAGCTCTCGGCCCCAGGAAATTTATTGAATTTGTTCTTCGAGCTGTATATAGCTCTCGAGCCAACGCGAGATCTCTACCGCTTGATATCAACCGTTTCGTTTTTTCTTTCTTTCTTTCTGGTTTTTAAATTACATTATTTTACAAATGATGTAAGGGGAAAAAGGGCACTCGATGTAATAATGAAAATAACGTATACGGATTAACGGAGCATATACATAGTAAAGAAAAACGAAGGAAACGGACTTGGATATTTTTTATACGAGCTTTGGCGCGGAAATACGGCCGAGCTGCTTAAAAAGCTGCGGCGTAGACACCTCGGCAGCACCTCGTGCGAAGATTTTCATTCTGCCTTTTTTTTTCTCACGCCACCACACAGTGTCGTCGTCGTCGTCGTCGTCTTCCCTTTTATATTACACGGGCATTTTGAATCTCTTATTCTCTAAGCAGCATAATAATGCTTTGCCATTGTCTCTCTCTCTTGCGGAGCTCGGTGCAAAATTCACGCTCCGATGCTTTATACATCGCTCGTTTCTGTGTTTATTCGTTTGTTTCTTCTTTTCAACTCCTTTCTTTATCTTTTTTATTATCATCGTGGAAAGATATAAAATTCATTTGCTTAATACGTTAAATAACGACTCGTTCTGATTTGGTAAAACCACCACCACAGCAGCAGCAGAGAGAATACGAACATCATCAGGCTCGTAAAATATGTCGTCTATATATAGCATAAGCGCGTGACGCGCAGTTTACTCGGGTTGGGGGCTTTATGGGACTATTTCACGGGCAGTTGAAGCCAATCGGGCAATCGGTGTGAACATACCACCGCCCACCCGCGCGGCAGCGGCGCTATATAAGCTTTACACTGCAGCAGTGGCAGCAACCCTTCGACCTATAGAGAGATACTATACTGGTGCTCGTACACGCTCATAAAGCTCGTCGTCGAGCACAAGACGTTTTCAGCCGTTTCTATATGCTGCGCTATATATATCGCTCATTCCGATGAATCCTCTATATATATTCATTATGTGTGTGCGTGCTATACATCACAGACTCGAGCTATGCTGCTATATAAGCTCGCGGAAATATCCGAATCGCTTTTCGGGCTCATGGAAATGAATGTTTCAAACTTGATTTCAATCCCAGATTCGTATGT